TCTTCCAAGACTAAACTGTATTCTTAAACTGTGTGGCTTTTTGGCAAATTCACTGGTGTTCATCTCAAAGGGAATTCTACGTGTAAAAGTTTAAACACAAATCCACTATCACTGGAAGATCATGCCTTGCTGATGACTGAAAGCACGATTTCCATAAAGAATAGCACACAATTATTATTCTATAATAAATAAAACTCTCCAATACACATTTACTGACTACCTGATAAGTACTAGTTCTGTGCTCTGCTACATGCTGTTACCGAAAGCAAAAATTGGAAACGTAATGCTTAAAAGAAAACCATTTAAGGGATATAGAGTTTTTCCTTCCCTGGATTCCCTTAAGTTTCAAAAGATTACTATCTTGAATAACATTAGTCACTCATGCTCCTAATTTTAAATAAAGACCACCATGGGAAAGTCATATGAAATTCACACACACAAAAGCTAACAATACTCATTACATTCCCTTACCGACTCAATGTGACAATTTTCTTCTCTAATTTAATATGATGAAAAAGTCTTGCAAAGAACTTGGAAGTTTCAACCTTTCCAATAATGTATGCTGTTAACTCATTTTACCCTAGCTGCTGAGAAGTTTAAAGATTATTTTTAATCCATTTATAATAAAATAAAGCAGATACAGAGAAAAGTACAAAAAAAAAGTATAGCTTAATTAGTTACTATAAAGGAAACACTCTTGTAACCCTGAATTTAGCCAGATCCAGAAAGAAAACTTGCCAATCACCTCAGAAGGCTCTTCATGAACCCTGTCCCAATCCCTCTCTCTCCACAAAAGTAACAATTTTTCCAACTTTGTGGTAGTTACTTACTTGCCTTTCTTTATATAGTTGTATTGTTTGCTGTAAGTGTACATCCATAGAAAAACAGTTTAGTCTTGACCACCCATTTATTTTCATTTGCTATGTCTTTTAAGTCTCAATCTAGATGTTCCCTCTCCATCTCTCTCTTTTCCTTATAGTCTATCTGTTGAAGGGTGTGAGATATTTACTTGTATGTCCAGATTTGCTGATGCACATGCATGGTGCCGTTCAGTATGTTTCTCGGTTCTCTGTATTTCCTACAAATGGCCAGCTGACACAGTCTTGATCGGACCCATGTTGAATTGATCCCTTTAGTGAGATGATAGGTGCTGCTGTGTTCTTCCATTAGAAAATGAACAATGTCTCTTCTTTCTCTTCTTGTGACGTTAGCAGCCACTGATGCTCACTCCCTAGATCCATTAGTTCACTGGAAGTTATAAAATGGTGATACCCTAATTCTATCATTCCTTTTTCATTTATTAGTTGAAACAGCTCTTCCATATCTACTATTTTGTTAGCCAGTGGTATATTCCTATAGGAAATGTATGATAAATTGCTTGATTCTTTATTTACCAATGTTAAAGGTAATGAATTGTTTCCTATCATCCTCTAAGAATAAACAATTCTTTAAAGGAAAAAAAAAAGCATCATGAACTCAAGGATTTAAATATACTTAATAGTTTCTATCAATCCTTAGCCAGTGAGAGTTCTCCAGTTATTCCCTCCAGTCTTTCTGAATTCACCCTAAGTAATCTTTAATAGCTTCCTTGCTATCTAGTATGACATAATGTGCATTTCTTGCCCAATACCTAGAATAAGCCATTTCACCAGAAAAGTTTAGTTTCTTTTAAGGTGGAATGGTTTTCCCAAAACCACAGTCTGCGTGCTACAGAAGTTCATTGCACGCAGCACTGTAAAATTCAACTGGCACTCAACTGGTCATTTTTCCCTAGTTCTCTTGGGTGGCTGCATTTTTAAAAAGTATTTGTGTATATATATTTTTGTAAGATGAAATTCTTGATAAGCACATACTACTACTTTCAATTAAAACTTAGAATTATCACAGTTTCTTTCACTTGACCTCCACAGTACTGCATCTGTATTCCTTTCTTCCACATTAAGAATCTAGCATGTGTAGGGACAATAGAATTAATATTTAATATATCCCATTATTATTCACTTAATTGATGCAACAATATAAACAGTCTCAGGATAACAATATTAACACCATTACACCAATGTAGTTACTATGAAGAATTTGACAAATTTTTTGTATATTCCCTCTATTCTCACTCCTGCCTTTTACAGTTGTACGTTATCTAAACATATAGCCATTACATATTATACGCTTCCCAATTTTACTCCTCCTTTATCTTCATTATACTATTAATTATATGTTTAATGCTCATCACCATGATTTATTTTGATGACTCGCTCATCATTTTCATTGTCTAAAGCTCAGTCACTAAAGTACCTTTTTAGGAAGGACTCGGGGAAACAATAATCTGTGATTTCTTGCATGTCGATCATAGTTGGTCCACGGCTTTATATGAGAAAGTCAGTTTTGCTGGATACGAAATGCATGCATCGTGTCTTATTCCTTTGAATATCTTAAAAATATTTCTCTATTTTCTTCGGACAAAGTTTTGCTGTTAGAAAGAGGATGTTAATCCAATTTTCTTTCCCTTGTAAGTCATTTACTCTTTCTTCTTAAAAGCCCAGGGAATTTTTCTTTCTTTAACACACTGTAATTTTATTAGAGTATGTCTTGTGCTGTTTGCTCTGCATTATACTCTCAGGCACACAGTGTTTTCTTTCAATATGTAGTTTCAGGTCTTCTTTTAAGAAACTTCTCCTAAATTATAGTTTTTCATATTTGTTCTATTCCCTTGCTTTTTCTTCCTAAAGATCTTATTATCTGTATACTGTTTCTTCTTTGCCTATCTTCAACACATTACTTTCTCTCAAATCCTTTTCTTTCTGAATTTCTTTTTGGTCTTTAAATCTTTCCTCCTTTTCAACCTCTATTTAAAGGCAATTTTGGTTTATTTGCTCTTATATTCCTTCCTATCATCTCATTTCTGAATTTTTCTAATTGTATATTGCTCTTTCGTAGCTGATATTGGTTTCTAAATGACTTGGCTCATTTTAAAATAGAGGATTGGTCTATTCTATGGTCATGTTTTTCTGTGGTGCTTTGTATATAAAGACATTATTCTTTTCCTCGTTACTTTCTCCTTTATAATAACTTTAAATGGGATTTTACCATGATACTTTTCTGTTTCTGATGTCTATGTAAATTAGTGTTCCTGAACTTTTAAAAGAAAGTGGTGTTCAAGGTAGCTTTTCTAACATCATAGAATTCGTTCCTCTGTTGCTTTCATATAATGTTCAAAAACATGGCAGAACTAGCTGAGATCTCCTAGCTGTTCCCCTCTCCATCATTCTCTGAAGCTTCTCTTTCCTTCCCCTCTTGTTCCTCTCAATTCTATTGTCCCTATACAGCTCAATTTTGATTCTACTATCCTATTCAATTTTGTTTCTACTCAGTGTGGTGCCTTGGCCTAGATTGAGAACTCTGGCAGGTCGACTTCAAGAGTTCCATTTTGAGAGGTCATTGGGGGTAGACTGTTCTAGCTCCTTCTGTCTTTACCGTGGACATACTGCACTTGCTTAATATCAGAATGGGCAACCTCTCACCCTCCCATTTCAGCTGCTGCTCTTAAAATAGCTCACCACATTGTCCAGCAAATAGTTGAGGCTATTTTGGCGTTCCCCTGCTTTCAAGTCCTTTGAGTCCTGTTAACTCTCTCTGCTTACTCCTCCGTAAGCAGGGATACCATGGAAGTCTTGTTGCTGTTGGTTGTTTGCCCTTATCTGCTTGTATTTTCAAACGCCTGAGGTTAGTTTTAATGTAAATTTTACCCATATGTTTTTGTATTTGCTACTAGTTTCTGTTAGTTTTACTCAAAAAACTATGACATGGTCACATCCATCTTCCTAAAATCCCTCTCAAAGTCAGATGTAAAATTCAAACTCGGCAATTGTATTTTTATATTCATCATATACTTACTTTTCGACATTTACTTTTTAACTATTTTTAAACCATCTTGTATGTCATTTCACTCTTTTTTGAAACAAGGCAAAAAATACTCCAACTCCATGGTTACAAAAAGTTTATTTTAATTAAATTCTTTAAACTTTTCCTGGCTTTCAGTACCTCTAAGTGCTCCTTATTCATAGTTCAGAGAATTTACAAATGTTTATACTTTGAAAAATCCTTCAACTACCTAACATTCTCATCTTGTGGGGTCTTAGATGAAGACTACCAAAAACCCAAATAATCATTCAAACACAAGAATGCAAATACAAAGTGTCTTTAAAACTCTTAACATAATCTAAGAAGAAATTCCATGTTTATGTATTATAGACTTTGTCTTCCTTGAAAATTGGGATGTATGGTACATGCAGTAAGTTTTCTCCTAATCCAGGAGTGAACAAACCACTCTTTGGCTCACTATTTGTTTTATAAATAAAGTTTCAGTGTAACACAGCCATGTCTATTCCCTTATGTGTTATTAATAACTATATCTGCTTTCAAACTACAACAGCAGAGGTGAATAGTTGAATCAGAGATTATATGGCCCAAAAAGCTGAAAATATTTACTACCTGGGCCTTTACAGAAAAAGCTGGCCAAACTCTTCCCTTGTCTAGAGATTTATCAAACAAGGTCCACGAGCACTACTTATGGGCTTTACTGGTAACTTTGAGTGGAAGAGATTTTTGTAGTATTGGATGTCCAGCATATTGCAGGATGTTTGGCAGGAACTAAAATGCTAGTAGCACTCCGTCTTTGGGTTAACCAAGATTCCCCACACATTTCTAAATACTCAGGGTGGGAATAAAGGTACTATCCCTGCTTGAGAACCACGGAAGAACTAAGTTAGCTCAGAGTAAGGAAAAAGAAAATACAGTCCGTAAATTCTAATTGCTACCAAGATGGATGAGAAATAAAATTACTTCTTTAAAGAGCAAACTAACAGTATTCTCCTACCCCTTTGACACTTAGCCAAAAATACATTAACTTCTTAATAAAACTAGACTTTATACTTTAATATATCAAACCATTACAAAGTTTTCTTAAAGTTTAAAAAAAAAAGCTTTTAAAGCAATCTTACCGATTTGTTCCATCCAGATTTGATTTGTGGATGAAATTAAGTTTTGCATCTGCCCAATAAAGCTTCCGTTCCTCATAATCCAAAGTTAGTCCATTTGGCCAGTAAATTTCAGTGTTTATTATAATGAAGCGACTTGAACCATCCATTCCAGCACGTTCTATCTTTGGCACTTCTCCCCAGTCTGTCCAGTACATGAACCTAAAAAGGATAAAAACAATTAAAGCCATGACATAACCAGAAAACCACAAAATATTTTGTAATTATCACTATTAGATAAAGAAAGCTCTCTTAGGAACACTAAAACTAAAACCTCTAGGAGTTGTTTTTAAAATATTAATAATCTACCATTTGCAACTGTCATAGTAATATCTGATTCAGACAAGCATTATAAAGGAAGCAAAAACCACTGGATCAAAATTTATTGGAAAAAAGGATATTTACACCATCTCAATGTATCTCCCCACAGATTATTATTAACAACAAAGAGGAAAAGGATAACCTTAGAGGAAATAAACCTGGAGGACACCACCATAAGCAAGTATCTAAGTTAACATCATCAATAAAGGAATAAACTGGCATCACATACCTCTTAATTAATGCAATGAAAAGGACATATCATCTTTTAAAGAATATCTCTTACATAGCATTCCTGCCAAAAAAATGAATAATCTAAATAAAATGAGGAAACAGACTCAAGTTGAGGGACAGTCTACAAAACAACTGGCCTTTGAAAAATCTCAATGTCATGAAGTTAAAAAAAATTTTTGAAGAACAATCTAGATTGGAGAACTGATATGGTAAGGAAAAAACGCTACAAAGACATTATTGGGAGAAAAGCAAAATTGAGTGTCAAATTATATACTAGTGTGTACTAACGTTAAATTTCCTAAATATGCTAATTGTACTGTAGTTAGGATATACAGGAGTTCACTGTACTATTTTTGCTTCCATTCTAAAGACTGAAATTTTTTCAAAATAAAAAATGAAAAGTCTAATAGTCTTATTACAGAAAAATTTTTCCTTCATGTAAAAGAAAAACTCTTAATGTATCATACTTCAATTAAAAGCATATTTTAAAAAGTTGATGAGGGTGCCAGCACTAGATATGAGGCACTCAATAAATGTGTTGAAACAAATTCAGGTATAACTTTTACTCAGATAGTTGGTGGAATGGTGATACAGGAATGATTCCACTTATGTACACTGATACCTCTACTATTTCATACAAACTACTTACTCAAAGAAATGATGGGAAGAGAACATCGTATGGGGGAATAAATATACCTTCTAAATACAAGGCACTGTGCTATTGGCTTCACATACGTTATCTCACTTAAGCCTTACAGCAACCTTATGAAATATTATTTGTTCACTACCATAATTCACATGAGGAAACTGAGAAAAGTGAGCACATCACTCAAACTCACACAGCTAACGAACGGAGAATAGAAATTCACAGCTACATCCCTTAGATTCTAAAGTCAATGCTTATGCCATAGGTCAAAGCCTTGGTTTTCAAGGAATAGAAAGCAAAGTGCTCCCTAGATTGAGAATAATGATTAGATTTTACTCAGAATGAGGGCTAAGGGAATGATTAGACTCATAAGATAAAACCACAGTCACACCTTGCATAACAATGTTTCGGTCAATGACAGACCACATACATGACAGTGGTCCCACAAAATTATAATATTGTATGTATATTTACTGTACCTTTTCTATGTTTAGATACACAAATATCATTGTGTTACAATTGTTTACAGTATTCAGTACCTTAACATGCTTCAGGTTTGTGGCCTAGGAGCAATAAGCTGTACCATATAGCCTAGGTGGGTACTAGGCTGTACCATCTAGATTTGACAAAATCGCCTAATGACACATTTCTCAGAGCATGTCACCATCGTTAAGTGACACATGAAACTGTATACAGGAAAGCAGACTATACCATGTTACAATTTTTGGTTTTTATTCTGACAGCAACATGAAGGCATTTGAGGACTTTTTAAACTTGAGGTGAAATGATTGGCTTTGTATTTTAGGAGGTGGCAAAACTAGCTGCAGTGTGGAGAAAGTCTAGAGGAGGGCTAAAAAGAATACAGAAGAGGCCAGATATTCCAAAGTGACTCTGTGAGTTAGCTGTTCAGCAAATCCTTTTCCCTAAAAGCAAAGAAAAAACAGGAAAAGATCATGAAAACTAACTACAGTCCCCAAAAATTGATCAAAGGACATACAATGAAATAAGAAGCATTTATTAAAAAACAAATCTACTGAATTTCACAAAAACTGTGGTACTTTAGCTAGGAGCTACTTCCATTCTCACTCATACTGCCAGGTTTGTGGCACAGAAGTTGTACCCTGCACAGACATGGCAGGCCATAAGGACTGGCAGCTACCTTGCCCTGCAACAGGGAGCTGCATTTATTTGCAACAAGGCATGGAAAAATCTAAACCCAGGAATGTTGTCAAAAACAAGAGTGCTTTCAGTGGCAGACAATCAAGGAGGGCTATTATCCAAGTGATATTGGTTGGTGCAAGCAACACAGTGACAGACTAGCCAGAAATTTAACAGAAAGATCCTAGGAAAGAGACAGCCAAAGAGAGCCTTGTTAAATGGACATCCATTCCTGGTGATCAGGATGGCTATGTGCAACTACAAGGCTGCTCCTTCTCAAGAGACACCAGAGAGGACACTTGAAGCTAGTCTCTAGCTGAATGTGAGACAAATTTGAAACTGCCTAAGATGATAAGACATTCCCTAAACCACAAACAGATCAGAAGGAAAATGGTGGAACGCTTACTTGCTGGTGTTTAAGTACAACCTCTAATCAATCATTTGCTGATCACTAAGATACAGTGACACAGCAGCGATCCCTAGAAAGCCAGGCATAAAAATATTTTAAAAGGGAAACAACTGAATTAGTCCAGGAAAGTAATAAACAAACACAACAATAGCAACAAACCCAGAATATATAACCATTTTATTATCTAAAATTTCCAGTTTTTGCAGGGTGCGGTGGTGCAGGGTGCCTGTAATCCTAGCACTTTGCGTGGCCGAGATGGAAGAATCACTTGAGGCCAGGAGGTCGAGACCAGCCTGAGCAACATGATGAGACCCCGGTCTCTAGAAAAAATTTAAAAATTAGCTGGCTATGGTGGTATGCCACCTGTAGTCTCAGGAGGCTGAGGCAGGAGGATCACTTAAGCCCACGAGTTTGAGGTGCAGTGAGCTATGATGAGGTCACTGTACTCTAGCCTGGGAACGAGAGCGAGATCCTGGGTCAAGCACACACAATGTTACTAGACACAAAGAGGGACATTTTATATTGATTAAAAAGTCAAATTATCAGAAACTATTATAAACATGCATGTGCCTAATAAGATCTAAAATAAATGAAGCAAAAAATTATAGAATCAAAGAGAAAAATTGGCCATTCAATAAGTTAGAAACTTACAATAACTGTTTTCAAATTTTACTATAAAGCTGGAATAATCAAGGCAATGTAGTTTTAAAGTGTGTATTGAAGTATAGACCAACAGAACAGACAGAAACTCCAGAAATATATTTACCATCAACTGATTTTGGACAGAGGTGCAAAGGCAATTAAATGGAAAAGGATAATCTTTTCAGGGGATATTCATATCCCCCCACGAAATGAACCTCCATCCATACTATTAACAATCCATACACATAAAAATTAATCCAAAATGGATCACAGATCTAAATGTAAAATCTAATACTTCTAGAAGAAAATCTTTGTCACCTTGGGTTAAATAAAGGATTTCTTAGATATGACACCAAAAACACAATCCACAGAAGTAAAAAACTAACAACTTGGACTTCATCAAAATTAAAATCTTTTGCACTTCAAAAGACATCATTAAGAAAGTAAAAACACGTAACAGACTGGATGAATATTTGAAATCATATACATAATAAACGACTTTACCCAGAATACATAATAAATTCTACAAATCCAATAGAAAACAAACCAAATGAAGTATTTTTCAGAAGATAAATAATACTTTTTAAATGGGCAAAAGATTTGAAGAGACATTTTACCAGACATCTAGATGGCCAATTAGCACCTGAAAAGACGTTCAACACCATTAGTTATTAGACAAATGCAATTTAAAACTACAATAAGACACTACTTCACACCAGTAAGTATGACTATAATAATTTTTTAAAATAGACAATTACGGTGTTGGCAGGGATGTGGAGAAGCAGGAATGTAAACTAGCAAGGCCACTCTGAAACAAACAGCTCCATTTTTCCTTAAATGTTAAACATAAATTTATCAGACAACCCAGCAATCCCACCCTACTCAATAGACGTGAAGCATAAGTTCACACTAAGACTTGTGTGTGAAAGTTCATATCAGCATTACTCATAATAACCAAAAAGTTGAAACAACTCAAATGCTCATTAACTAATAAATGGATAATACAAAATTTAGTATATTTACACAACACAATACCGTTCAGCAATGAAAAGGAACAACGTACTAATATACATTACAACAAGGATAAACCTCAAAAGCAACATGCTAAAGTGAAAGAAGCCAGGCACAGTATCATACACTATATGATTCTACTTATATAAAAGTTCCACTGAGAGCAAATATATAAAGACTCAAAGTAAATTAGTGGTTGCCTGGGGTGAGGGATGGAAATAGGCGCTAGGATTCTCTTTAGGGTGATGGAAATGACTGCAGTGACAGGTGTATAACACCATAAATTTAATTTAAATGATTAAATTATAAAAACAGGGTCGGCAGGGGGCATTATAGGACTTTTTCTCCTATAGACCCATGCTACATAGGGGGGGGGGTAATGCAATCATCCCACACAAGAGTAACAGCCCCATTCCTGCAAAGTCAGGGACAGATCAGACTTTATGGACTGAATTCCGTACATGAAGATCACTCAATATTTGAAATTACCTTGCTGAATCCTCCGAAAATTCTAACATTCCTTTTATCTGCAAATAAACACGGCTATCAAAAATATGTTGCAAAGATGGGGAGGACAGAGCAGACCACTCATGATGCATTTCAGTTATCCCACCAAGAAATTATGGTAGATAGAATCAGTATAGTGGCAGCAGACATAAGAGGACAGTCAACAGATATTTGAGAAGGAAAAATTGACAGGACTTGGCAATGAGAGGTGAGGAAAGAGCAGGCACTGAGGATGAT